CCCTTTCCCAGCAAAAACAGTAAACGTTTGTAATCCATACTAAAATTTTGTATGTATTGATTTATTTAACTTTACAATCAGAGCTGCTTTTGTTTTTTAAATAAAGTTTAAACGCTGGAGCTCAATACTTGATGTAATTGGTCGAAGCAATCCGCCAAATGGGTTAGACAGACATCTAGTGCTCAGCTGGAGCAAATACATGGAAAACTTTCGTTTCCCGTCACAAATCAAATCCGTCATGTACCCAGAATGCATCGCTTCAGTTTTCCAATAAACAGTTTTAAAATTGCTTTATTGATGCTTCTTTAAAGAAAAATCTACAACAAACAAAAGAAAAAGAGACAAAGAAGCAGATGAACTAGCAATCCTCAACAACTTGTTAATTTTTACACCAGGAGCCAAAGTTCTGTTTCAGGAAATCACATCCCCAGCAATCGGTGCTTGTAGGATTAAGCTGTACAAGAGTTCATACACCACTAGTTAGCAGTCTTGTACATATATTGTACATGAATTAAGTGTCAAATTGAACTTGCACTTTAAAACTGGTTACCACAAATTTTTCTATGGCATAAGCGTTTCAGAAGTTGTGGACCTAAATATTTTCATGAGCACTTTTAGAAATTGCGGAGCTAATTTTTGGGTTAGCGCTGCCCACCACTGATTGTTAGTAAAAGGACAGTAAATCTGTTTTTTATTAAACCTGAGTGAATACAGAGTAAATACCTTGATGGGGAGGTAGTCACTGACTGGCTGGTGGAAGCCCCCTGGCACACTGCAGTACTCTGTGGGGTAGATGAGGGCAGTGGCACGAAGGACGTGATGCAGCAGGTTGCAGGCCAGAATATAGCCCTGCTTACACTTGAGGTGAAGAGTCAACTGCAAAATCTGGACCAGGTCCGAGCGATAGGGCAAGAGCTTGTCACCGTCCACCCGAGTTACCTGAAGTGAACGTCGGAAAAAGGTGAAAAAATACATTTACGACGCCAAACGTTGATAAGAGTGGGGGTTAACGTTTGGATTATGAGTTAATTCACCTCAGAAAGAAGTTGTAGATTCCACAGAAACTCCTTATCAAGCTCTTCCTCATTCAGCACTTCCTCATCTGTTTAAAACAAGGCATACATCAGACGAATGACTCYAGACGCATGTTACATTTAGAAACATCTCCGTGTGTGCCTCTCYATGCGCTTTGATGACTTACTGACAGCGATTTGGTTTATGGCATTGCAGCAGTGTGGCACGAACATCTTGAGCGACTCTGCAGGGTGACACTGGGACAGAAAATTTGAAWATAAGTAAACAAATATGAAAAGACGATCAGTTTGGCGTACAGATAATAGTGTGGGCTGGTACGACTGACCTTGGCAGCGGCTCGACACATGTCGGCCACCATCCTCCCAGCTACTCGTGTCTCAAAGATGTTGGTGGTTGCAAAGTTGAAGACCTTTTCCAAAGCCACCTATTTCACATTAAAGCAATATGTGGATACACAATTTTATAAATACATGCAGTTAAGATAGAATGTTATTTATTATTAGGTGTTAAATGGGGTGCAACGATACAGGAAATTCACGGTTCGGTTTGATGCTTCAGTTTCACAGTTCGATACAAAAAAAGAGAAATTTCCATGCCCCTTTTAACTTGTAATTTATTTATATTAATTATGAACATTTGTTTAACCTCAAAAGTACAGTTTTTTAATTAAATGTTGCTGAAACAGCAAGTTTCTCAGTGGACCTGCGCACAAAAATGCAGCCTAGGTGGAGTAGTCGAACACAGATCCACTGATCCTTTAACACAGAGCATCTTCAGAAGACAAGATGATAAAGTAAATTTTTAAAATCTGTATTGTTCGATACAGCACTGTTCGATATGGGTACATGTATTGTTGCACCCCTAGTGCTAAAATATACCACAATCCTAACCCTGAAAATATCCAAGGAGCACTGCGTGAGGATTGTGCTGAAGGTTGAGGACAGTCCAAGCTCTACAAGACTCTCGACGTGAGTCATTTTTTCAGTTTCTGTTTCTTCTCTGGTTTGTTCCAAAGTGCTGCTGTCGATCAGAGCAAAGCATCTGTGGAAAACAGAACACCCTTACGTTAAAATGCTCAGACTTACATTAAACTGTACCATAAAATGACGCTGTAATTACTGAACAATGCTATCATTTTGAAGTATATCATCATACCTGTCCATGAACTGCAGCACAAAGTCTTCAAACTCGGCCGAGGCAGAACACATCTCTCTTTCCACCTGACAGTTGCAGAAAAATAATGAATCTCTTTCAAATCTCTTTCCAACGGTCATTTTTTTTCCATGTCTGGTTTAATTATGAAATTGGTATAAAAACTGCTGCAGTTCACCTCTGTCAAATCCGTTCTTTCATGTAGGGCAGACGAACAGTCCACCAAAGGCACAAGAGTCACAAATGTAGCAATAAACTGGAACGTGATCTGTAGGGAAAAAAAACTTAAGTTTCTATCCAGATTTAAGGAATTTAGGCAAAAAAAAAAAAAAAAAAACTCAAATGTTTAACGGGCACAGACGTAAAACGAAACAAAACTTTGTATCGCACCATACACTTGCTGAAGTCGTTCGGGTCCACGCCCGGCAGAGCTCTCATGAGCAAGGGCAGCATGTGAGTGGGTCCTTCAGGATAGTGCTGCCCACCTGAAACCAGGCTACGTGCTACACCAATCATACAGCTCAGAGTGGCCGTCAGCTGGTGGGGTTCTGTTAGGGTCTCCAGAGCAGGATATGTTCTACAGTAGGGAGAGGTTACAATTAATCCTTTGTCTTCATTTCTAACAATGGCCGCCTTCTTTATTTCAACTGGGAAAACGATCAACAATGTGGATACTTTACTTTTTGAGTTTCATATCCTGTTATACTATCGTTCCCTCATCAAACACATAACAACAGTGTTGCTTTGACTCATTCATGCATGTTTGAGAAATCCTTCAATCTCCTGTGGTGGCCATGCTCAAAAACACTTGTTCATACAAAGTGTGGCCTATTTGTGTAAAGCTCCTCCCTGGAGCTCAGTCTAGACTTGCAAAATACATCTTAAAAATACAGGATGTTCATGATTTCATTGCAAAGCATAACTTCAGAATTATCAATATTAACAGTGTCTTGACAAGATGTGTACGTATAGATGACTGGAAAATATGTTACCAAGCTGAAACATGTTGCTTCATTTTTAACAAAATACAACGCTCCTACGAAAGGTTGTAAACGGCATGAAATATTGTTGTGACGCAGTGCTGAAGTGGGAGTGTCAGGAATGGTAGGAGATTCTTAAAGAGATAGACTTCGATTTCAAGGCATTTAGATAGGATATGATGCTAAGTCCAATTTATTTTTGACAGCATTTTCATAAATGAAGGTAACATAGTTACTTGATTGTGGTAGTGTGAAGTACGTGCCTGTAAAATGCATAATACCCCACGCCCCCCAGTAAAATTCTGCTAACCATAAATGCAATTTCTCATTGATCTGCACCAATAGCCTATATGCCACGGCCATTGATGACGTATTTCCGTTAAAATTCCTGCCATGCACATCCCTTCCACTTCCTGCCGTTGTTTTTAGCGTTAGCTGCTAGCACTAGTCCGTGAAAAAGTCACAAAAGTTAAAGCATCTGTGATCTACTGGTATAAAATGTGAGTTCAGTTGTGTGCTGTTGTGTCCACTAACCAGCAGGTACAATAGAGTAATTAGTTTTTCTCCATTTTCCTCAAGTTGATGAGGAGGAAAGATGACAGCTGTGGATCATAGAATTACAGGGAAAACTTAGCTAAAAGCTCAAGCTTGCGTTTGTAATCGGCATTTCTAAGCTGAGGATATTCAAGAGGCAGCGTCAGAAATGAGAAGACGGAGGTTACAAAAGGGAAATGTAAAATTACCCCCTTTACTGCCAAGACTAGAGAGGAAAGACCACCTCCAGAGGACAGCTAGAAGGAAGCTAACACAGCAGCCAGTACAAAAGGTAGGTGTGTGCGTACGTATACAGAGTATGAAACTTTTTAGGCAACTTTGTCATGAGTTTTATGCAAAAGTAAAAACTTGTTAGAGTGCATATTACAGCGTAGACAAAACACGAGCGCCGAGCGCCGAACCGAACTTACTTCTCAAGCACAGGAGGAATGACCAACTCGGGTCGCATTAAAGCGAGGTTTTGCAGAGCCTGGGCTGCATCAAGACTTCCCGTCTTGCTGAACATGGCCAGAAGAACCGGCTGCATCATACTTTGTACAAAGTCTGTGATATCCTCCTCTGTGAGTTTGTGACTGTCTGGAATGGGTGTGAGCCACGACGGCTTTCTGTAGCGCTCCCGATGCAACCGACGGACCACGCTGGCAGGGAGACGCTGAAGCAGCTTCATGAGCTTCATCTAGACACGAAGACAAGGGGAAAGAAAGACCGATACATGACAAAGGGGAGACAGAGGTAGGCGGTATGCTTTCATGTACAAATGGAGAGGTTGACTGTGTTATGGAGCATCTAAAGACACAGGTAACATAATGGACAAACAAACAAAAACCAATACACTGTGAACACAGTTTTATTCAAGTGACTTTTCATTTTTGTGCAAGTAAGTCTACATTTTTATCAAAATCACAGGTCAGAGGGGAAACTAAGACAAAAATACTTAGCCAAATCTAAAAAGCACGACAGCCATCGTTTGTTACCCATGATGCTATATTATTACTGATTGCAAAACACTGTTTACATGTATAACTGGCTGAACGTCTCGCACACGTCCAAGCAACACAAACTCCACCCCATAAAAAAAAGGGAATGAGTTCAACAGCACTTTACTGCCTGTGTTGCTTAAAATCGAACACAAGGAGAACCTCAAAACAGAAAGGCATGTGACCGAGGTGCCAGTGACCTTTAATAGCATTGCAGCCATCTCACTCACATGCCCTGCTGTTATTTCTGAACAGGCTATCAATGTAAATCTAGATAGCCAACGAGACTAGGAAGGCTTCCTAGAATGATGACACACATTGTGCCTCATCGATGTCAATGTTTTTTGGCGAGTCGAGGCAAGAACAAACTGGAAAACACACCAAAATATGGCTACTCAAAAGTGGCAAACAAAAATGTAACCTTCTCATTATTATTAACAATTCAAACAACCATTTGCTTTTAATTTATTAATTTATTTTTGGAGACAGGAAACTTTGGCTCACGTCATGAGGCCACACTAACCTCAGAATTGTTGACTGCTGTCTCTTGAGACATAGTTTGTAGAACTTTCCCACAAACCATATTAAACCATAAGAATCTGACACTTTTGGAGATTTTTGTCTTTTTTTTTTGGTCTTGCTACATGGGTACAATTTTAATGGTAAGCCTAATTAAAAGACACCAAATTTCTTATGGTGTGATTAAATGAACAGTCAAAAGAAATGACTCACCAACCAACGGCCATGATTAGATGGGTGGAAGAAAGACGTGATGCTGTTAAAAAGGCCACTGAGCTGTGCTTGAGTCTGCTTACTGGGTCCTCCCTAAAATTCACAAGGTTAAAGTCACTCAGATCATTTCGCACAGTAAATACAGTGAATWTAATCTGTTCTGATCTGTGGTCTAACCAGAAGGGATGACACCCAAAGCACCACGTGGCTGATGTCATAGGCYTTGGTAACGTATCGTGGTACCATCATCTGACCGGTCCCTACAGGAAGATTCAAACTTCTCAAAATTCTTGTGAAAATCTGTAATGTAAAAAATAAAAAAATATTGATAATTAGTTTGATATGAAGTAGCACGGGTCAGGCTTGTTTGTCTTTATTTGTGACACACATTAGTTTCATTTAGGAAACAACTATGATGCAAGTCACTTCCCCTCTAAGAGGGAGCAAGTTCAAAAGAGACACTTGATAGTTTGTTCCTCTGACTGGCAGCAAAAGCAGGGAAATATAAACCATGAAAACACATGACAGCATGTGCTACCATCCTAAAAACAAACAAGTCCTTGATTGCACAATGGGTTGCAGACAAAAAAGGGGGGTAAAACAAACCTTGGGTATATAGGGGTCCCAGTCAATGTAGCCGATGTTGTCATTGGCCAAGCGAGCGAAAAGATTAACCAGGTGCTGTGAAGGTGAAGAAGAACACGTTACAAAATTACAAAAACGACAGCAGAAATATTCATTATTGTGGATTTTACTTGGTCTACTTACAACTTCCCAACTTGGGAGGTTTTGCACAGACACCCACAAGTTGATCAGCTCATCAAACCACAACCTGTCAGAAATAAGTTGCTAAAATTAAACATGTAGTGACTCCCTTATGTACAAAACATACATATTTCAGTTGCAAAAGAAACATTTCATTCAATAAAAGGAGAAAATTCAGAATGATAATACTAAATAATTATCATTACTGGTTATTTATGCAGTTTACTACATTACTGAGGCATTAAATGTGTATAAAACTATARAAAAAATAAAAGACACTACAAGGATTAGGAAGCCTGAAAAGTCACTCCAATCATGTCTAAACTATTATATACATTTACTTGTTTTTTTTTAATCTGTTTATAAATTGACTTATTTACTTCCACAGGTAACCCATCACACCATTCACCTCTTTTCCTTTCATGCAGCAAGCTATTCTTGTATCTTTGAGTTGAAAGACTAAAGGGACTTCACASAAAGCAGTATTTTAGACCTCATCTTACAGAGGTGTGTGTGTGAAGTTTCTTACTTAAACCCCTTGTGATGCAGCTCAGGAGGCAGAGTTGTGGGCAAGAAAAGCTCAAAGTAGCTGATCGCTCTCTGCATGGTGACGTCAAAGGGACAAAGAAGTGGTCTCCACTCATCCAACATCTCCTGAGTAGCGGTCTCTGAGAAGTATCTGCACAGCGGGGAATGTGGTTACAATGATTTGATAAAACAGGCTAATCATGATGACAAAAACGGTATTATTTATAATCTTATATATGGAGAGTTAAAGCACAAAAACATTGCAAAGCTTGTCAGTTTTAAGGTCTGTATGGAGGCAGATAATAATAAGTGATGAGGAGGAGTTATTTTAATAGGGACAACAAAGAGACGATTTAACAAATAATAAACAGGACACTGGTGTCCAAATAAAGAGGATACTACTAGCATGTCAGTGCTGGAGTGGAACTTCTCATACAGACTTAGCACATGTTTCTGTGTTAGTTTAAATCCTTTTGCTTCCTTCAGATAAGGTAAGCCACACATTTCACAAGCTTGCTCAGCCTTTGTATTGCTATTACATCTGCTAAAGACCTTGAAAAAAAAGAAGTGGAAGTATAGCTTTCTGCCCTTCRTCGCTGCTGATCCACAGTATCTGAGCAGCACCTCACAACAAATCACTGTCTCTCCTCAGAGGTACAAGAAACTCCCTCAGTAGACAGAATTAGATGAGGTAATAGGATTATCTGACTACTGTAGGAGCAAACTCAAGTCCAAGTCCTACAGCCTGCCTGAGATACTGTCAAACGTACAACTCTYCAGACAGTTACTGAGATCTGCTGGTTATAGAAAAGTTTTCTGTCTGTGAAGTACTTGAGTTAAATCTAATTTTAGGACAACTTACTAACAAATARGTTATGTTATGCAATTGCTATTTAACATAAAGTCATATTCATGCCATTATATGAACAGTCAAACTTGCAAAAAAAATACAATAAATAAAAAAAAGTATTTAAAGGATTAAAAAACATTTTTTAAACAACTGACAGTCACCTTAAGCTTAAATTATATATGAAAAGTATCTTACTGTAAAGACAATCTGAGATGAGTTATTTATTACTATGTATATAAAKGATGTACTCACGGTCTGCAGCTTTTCACCAGTGTTTTCAAGACATTTTCCACTGAGCTAGAATAAAGCAAAACAAGACTAATGTTAGTYACCTACCAGTCAAACACTGATGTTAGTAAAACAGTCATCACACAGGGACCATCTGACTTTTTTTTGCATGCATATAGTATGGAAATCATTTTGCACATCTAACTTGAGCACAATAAAAAAAATGCTTGCATAATAATTAAATTGTAATCAAATAATTTTGACAGTCAAAAATATCTTCAGAACTGTTGCTGTACAACACAYTTTTACCCAGTATCTTAAACTGATATGTGGCGTTAGTCTGGGGAAACAATATCACAAACTTCCAACAAGTTTTTTCACAAACTGACTGCAGATGGAGAACCTTAAACCAGTATAACCATTGACCACAATCTCCTTATCTGATTTACTTTGAAACAAAGAAAACAAAACTTTTTAAATCCAACTCCACTGAAATTTTATRGTTATGATACTGAGAATCTAATACAGCAGACTTACAGCTAAGAATAATACTTAAATAATTTGTAAATCATGTGTGAATCTCTGAGCAGTACTAGCTAAATGCATGGTTTAACCCAGTACAAGCCAGTAATGTACAGCCAATAGAACTTTAAAAATACACATGCACATTCAGTTTTTTGAACTAGCTGGAATGAGTGAAACAACTCCGATATATACTTTCTGACCTAAAGTTTCAAATAGAGGGGATCGAATCTGACAAAAATCTGAGCTGTGTAACATCACCTAACATTTATTAAGCACAGATGACAAACTTAAGCTAGCAGCGCAAATGAACAATAAACCCTAAATTATCATTCTGTGTTCATTTAATCACATTGCAACTCTGTTAAGGCATAATTAATCGTAGCCAATGTATAAAAAGAAGCAAGGATTAATTCTTAGTAATCAAGCTTTTGTTGCAACACTGGTGCCCCATAATTCTGTTTAACTGGAAAAAAGTTGGAAATACAACAGATTATAAAATATCCTAAAAAATATAGAAGAAAATACACATTCTCTGATAACTGCTTTGGTGGATAGAGCATTAAAATATCTGTTAGCTGCAGTGCGACAGTCTCCAATATGAGTGAAATGTTAACATTGGTGACATTTCTTTTTTCTTTACTTTTACAAGCTACATATGGGGTGTCCAGTTGTGGGGTTTTACATGCAATGTATACCAAAAACTAAAAAAAAAAAAAACCATCCAAGTGCCTTTAGAGGCAGAATTTCAAAATAAAACACAAAGAAGTGCTGTCCTTACCACCTCTGAACCAATTTTAACATTATGAGTTTAGAAGAAGAACGAGGCCATGGAGAACTGAATGTAAAAAAAGAGACAAAGGCATAAAAAAACAATTTCAGCACAAGAGCCAATCACTCAAAATAAGAACATGCTGTGCATCAGTGTTTTGCACAGTTATCAGAATGACCTTTTTGGTGCAAGTTCCCATAGTAATAATTTGTCACTGTGGAGTAAATGAGCAGGCCATCAGCCAAAGCAGCTTATGATAAACGCACAATGTTTCCATAGCACCATAAAAGAGCACCACGCACTGCTTGCCAAAACTTTTTATGAAAAAAAAAAATCCAAATTTTAGCTTCTTTCAAAAATCAAGCTAGATGTACAGTTTGGTTATTGTTTCCTGTAGGGCTGCAACGATTAATCAACTAATCGATTATTAAAATAATCGATGACTAATTTAATAATCGGTTAATCGTTTTCTTTTTTTTTTGTTCTTTAATTTGTTTTTCTCTCCAAACTGCTTTGACACCTTCCACTGCCACATCTGCCTTTCTGTCCTTGACACACATGCACAGTAGTGGTAACTGGGGTAGGCCGTGGACGTCACAAGACATTATACAGACAGGCTCCGGTATCATGGCTACCCAGCAACGGAGCTCAAAAGTGTGGGATCATTTTAAGAAAATGAAAGAGAAACCTGTGCAATATCTGCAGAGCAGAACTTGCCTTCCACAGCAATTATTTTTAGTTAGCATATAGCTAAAATCTAACKATGGTTATATAATAGCAGCTGCATTCTGGCGCGATAAGCTGTATGTTTTATATTCAATTAACGTATGATCTGATTTGTCGACTAATCGAAAAAATAATCGGTGATTAATCGATTATAAAAATAATCATTTGTGGCAGCCCTAGTTTCCTGTATAAAGACTTGAAGGGTTTGTGAGGTAAAACAATCCAACTGTTCTCTTCTAAAAGCAAACTACGCTTTTATAACAACTGCAAAAGCAATTTAAATGTCACTTAAGATTTAATAAGTGAGAGTTTAGGAATCGTTAAATTTGATGTATTAACACAGTAACCTAAACTGGCAAAAGCATACAAATAGACGAATGTGCACTTCACAGCTTTGTTGCTTAATAATTGACAATGAATTTGTAAAAAATTAACACGTTTGTGTTTAGATGTTCTGTTCGACCGCATCAGAGAGCCATACTGAATTAACTAAAGAGTTTTGCCTCAAAAAAGAAGGAAAAACTTGATTTAAAAACTGAGAATAGCACTTATTCCAAAACAATTACTGAAAAAAAGTGTGATGTGGAGATGTAGACCAGAAAATAAATAAATAAATAAATACAATAATAAATAAATTAAAAAAAGGAAAACATTTCACACCTAAAGCCAACTTAGCAACACTACTTCTTATATCATTTTAACAGCATAAGTACAAAAACGAGGCGTACTTGGGAAACCAGTTGAGGCCCAGGTGCTCCGTTTTTGAGAACAGAACTCTGTCATGTAGCTCATACAGGGGTCTCCAAGGCAACTCAAGGTCCTCCCTCGACAGTAGTTCTCTTTTCCTGTTAGAGATAAATAAAACATTCACCCAGACGACAATAAAAGTTAGGAGATACACCGATCGCCGTAAACCTTCAATGTATGAAAATACGTTTTTCATTGGTGCATCTGCAAAAGATGGGGGGCACATGCTCACTTGAGGAGGTTGACAAGTAGGCGAGCTAGCCCTTGCATCATGCTGATCTCCAGTCTGGGGGTCGTCACTAGCTCATACAGCAACTTGATAAACAGCACATGGTCTTCTTTGCTGAACTTCCGTCCGTACAGCCTCATGTACCTGAATTGGGAGTTCAGGTTTAGGCGAAAACACAATCATGTAGTGTAAAAACAATCCCACTGTATTACATGAAAAGAAATCCATTATTCTTAGAAATAACAAAACTAGTATCACAAACAAAATACCCCCCTCTGATGTGATTATGATGCCAAAATATACTACTACAAAATATCTGGGTCACCCAAACAGCAAACCCTCCATCTCCCTGAGTAAGCTGTGAGTCACCTGACAAAACAATGAGCCAACACTAAGAACTGCAACGGATTTAAATGCCCGAGCAAGCAGGCAAAATAAAACTGAAGGACATAAATAAACAGTGTCCTCTCGAAATATTTCCCAATGTAATGTGTGTGGCTAACTTGCAACAGGAAGTCAGGGGAACAACCAAAAACGTCATGATGACACTGCATATTAAATAATGAGGTGACCTTAGAGAAGCACATGGAGAAAATTCTAAATAATCCAGTTAATTCATAAAATTTTAAATAAGACATGACAACAGAGGTCATAGTAGTAAATACTAGAAGTACTAGTAAGTACTAGAACATTTAAGCAGAGCGGAAATGACCTACTGTGCTGTGGTGTCTGGGTCATGTTTAGCAGTTTTCTGTGGATTAACTGTGAGATCTTAAGCGTATCTTGTTACAATGTTTTATCACAATATAGTTTTTGATCCCCTGAGCAGTCTGAGTAAATATGCGACATCCATTCAAAAAGCTACGACATATTAACTGTAACATAACTCAAAACATGTCATAAAATAGAGAAAAACTGTTGCTGTTACGCCACAGATCCACACACAAKATAGCGGTACTTACGTTGAAAGTTTCCTCGTCCAAAACAGGACGCCGGGCCATATCTCTCTAAGCTGAATAGCTCGGCCCAAGTTTCCTTTGATTTTGCTCAATATTTCGTTGGARTCGTCATCTAGCCTGTCCGCGTACGGCAGGAGTTTGTTGTATACGATGTCTTTTTGAGGAACAAAACCTAAAGTGTCAGACTGTACCCTTTTCATAATTTCAAAGTGGCTAGCTCCACTATGCTAGCACTTTCCCCTCTACTTTCGCAGGCTCTCCGTGCACGTTCTTGTACTCTCCGGCTAAATTAACTAGCTACCAGTTCCCACTACGTATCTTTCCCTGTGGAAAAGTCTGGTTAGGAGAATCGAAAGTTGATGACACGCAAGCTAGTCATTTAGCTTAAGTTAAATTAGCACACCACAAAAAACATCAGCGTAAACGAAATAAATACAAGGCTAGTAAAAACACAACTTTCTCCCCATAAAAATAAAACGCCTCGGCATGGGAATTATTACTTTCTTTCGGCCCACGTATTTCTAAACGCCTGACGTCAAGCTAGCGGTTTAGCTAAAGTTAGCCGCTCACTACAAAAGCACTGTCATATCCCAAGGACCGTCGACGTCAACTGATTCATCCAACTACCGCAYGGCTGACTGACGACACCCAGCTTACCAGCCACCCCCAACACATACGTCATATCCGCCTGCTACAACGACTACAGCCGCTACAACTACATTTCCCAGAAATCTCCCGCGATTCAAGCTTAGCATTCAAACAAGATGATCTACTTAGGAACTTGTGTCCTCTCGAGGCTTCTGCTTAGCAGAAATTCGCTTTAAATGTATTGATGTCTTGTTAAAAGAATCAAAATTAAAAAACACTTTTTTATTTAATCAATAATATTAATTATTTTTAATAACAACAGTCGACAACAAATGATAATGAAAATGGCAACGAAAAGTGAACAGGTCAAAAAGATCATGGGCCAAAAATAATCAAACTGCACATAACTTAAACGTTTGCGCTATCTTGTGGTGAAATAAGGTATTAAAACAAAATCAGCATTATACAGTTGTCTCACTAAATAATTTGGAATACGTCAGGGCATAGGTAATGTAATCTATATATAAAATACTTAATGAGCCAGTTACGTTAAAAATGTGTTGAAATGCATATTTGAAGTAAGGGAAGGTATCTGAAAGGAACAATAAACAATCAGCGAGACAGTTCAAGAGCTGACTGTGGAAACCACTTGCTTCAATAGACGATCTATGTATGTTGCGGAAATCCCTTTTGTATCCTAGCAACCACGGACTTGTTTTCAAAGTCCACGCGAGCAGCCCCAAACATTTGCAATGATGAGTCTTCAGCGACGAATATTCTGATGCATATAACCAATGCGACATTTCAGCTTTTCACATATTGAGCATAGTGAGGCAGAAATGATTACTCAGAAGCTCAGTTTGACTTGTGATAGACTTTTGTCGCACCAGCAGCTCGCGTGTTGCCACGCTTACTGCGGAATACCATTCCAAGGCAAGGACGCAATTATTTACAGCAATCTGGATCCACAACAGAAGGTTTGTTACTTGGATTCTGTTAAGTGTGTTTTGAGAAAACCTTATCATTATTAAACTGTCATTGCAAGTTAATAAAAAAAAACTACAAACACATTCTGACATTAGAGTGTACCTGATGTTATTCTGTATGGGGTTCCATTAGTGCCAAAAATATCACCTTAAAATATCACCTTACATATCACACCGTACATCTTACATAGACAGAAATACATATTTTTGGCATAAAACCAAACTAAAGTTGTTTGTTTGTTTGTTTGTTTTTCACAGCCACTGCTGCTAACAGGTCATCACGGTGACATTAGTGCCATGACGTTTGGAAAAAGAAGCAGACCTGTTCTTCTCTGCTCTGCTTCTGCAGATTATATCATAGTCTGGGATATGGAAGCCTGCCAGAAGAAAACACAAAAGGGTAAGAAACAATGTTTRTGTGTGCACGTACGTGTGCATTCTGCAACAATCTGCCATAAATACTGTTTCMCATCATGCATCAAAGTCAAATTAAATTATAGCACACTTGGTAGTTGTCAGAACATAACATTTTCTTAACTTGTAATGCAATAGAACAGCATCAGATTAGGACCACGTAAACACAGGTCTGTTATGCGGTGAAATAATTCACTACAACATGATATACTTTGTTGTGTATTGTTTCAAAACACTGTTGTGTTTGTTTGCAGGTGAAGTTGCAACTGGAGTAGTTATTGGCACTTTACTAGGTGATGTTGTCCACCTCTCGTTCTGTTTCTCGGACGAACGAGTGGCTGCTTGCTCAGGATCAAATATATATGTTCTCAGTTRTAAGGTACACTATGACTAGAAACCAAGAGTTTTTTTTTTACATATTTCTTTACATTTCAAAAGCTGATAACAATTCTGGCACACCACCTCAGGAATAAATGCATTCATTGTTTTGGTTAATCCTTTGATTTTGAACCACACATTTAGGCCCAGCATTTGTCTATGTATATCATAAACTTTATAATAATTAAAATATTGCACCTTTTTCCCATTTATTTACACTGTTCCAAGTCAAAACCTCCCTTTTTTCCTCATCAGAGACAAGAAGAGGTGATTTGTACACTGACTGGCCACCTGGGACCTTTGACATCAGCAGAGTTCTGTCCCTGGAACAGAAATATTCTCGCTAGCACCTCGGAGGATCGCACTTTCAGGGTCAGGATGCACCTGTGTACAGATATGTTGGGCCATTTGTTTAATAAATAAATAAATATATACTGTATCTGAATGTCTATCTCTTTATCTGGTTTCGTTTCAGGTTTGGGATTTGAAAGCTGAAGCTGTTTTATACCAGTCGTTTGTGCTCTCTGGTAAGAAATTAATGTTTTAAATATTAATGCAGGTCTTTATTTATTGATGGCACATTCAGGCTTGTGTCCCCACTTGTTTTGACATGTTGTAAATTTCAGGCATTAAAGAATCTATTTAAAATCGTATTGTTGAATACATATATTTAGATATAGAGGAATCAAAGCAATGGATTATGAATAATGTTGATTTACTTTATATTTTTTAGCATCTCCGCTGCTCAGTGTGTTGTTTTTGGAGAAGGACAACCACCTGATTACTGGTTCAGCTGATGGACAGGTTAGAGACTGAGACACGTCCCAGAAAAACTCTTAATCAACGTTTTGTGTTCAAAAGCTTCAGGAAAACATGTTTTATTTTTTAAGGTGTGGTGCTTTTCTCTCGGTGATGAGCACAAGTGCCATCTGGTGACAAAAATGGATCTTCTGAAAATGGAAAAAAGGCATCAAGGGCGCCAAAAGCTTTTGAGCCACAAAGCAGGTAATGATGTCATCTATGTTGCACTATGAGGTCCAAAATTAAGACTAGCAACTGGCACGGCTAAGCTGGTGTTAGCATTGGAGAGGCTAGTGACAAGTATGGATAAGCTGGTGTTAGCATCGGAGAGGCTAATGACTAGCATGAATAAGCTGGTGTTAGCATCAGAGAGGCTAGTGACTAGCATGGAAAAGCTGGTGTTAGCATTGGAGAGGCCAGTGACTAGCATAAATAAGCTGGCGTAAACACTGGAGAGGCTTTTTCATATTAACCTCAGTMATTACCTGGTTGACCTTTGACCCAATGCTAATGCTAGCTTATCCATGCTAGTCGCTAGCCTCTCCTCTGATGCTAATGCCAACTTTTCTATACCAGACGCTAGCTTCTTCTTTGATGCTAATGCCAGCTTATCCACGCTAGTCGCTAGCCTCTCCGATGCTAATACAATTAGTTTCCACATTTGCCATCGCCAGCCTCTCATTTACCAGGGCCAGCTCCTCAGTTCGGTGCCCCGCCTATCATTAATCAGCTCAATAGCTGGCTTAGGAATATAGCCTCCTGCTACAAGGATGTAGCAACCACTGATTGCGCAATAGTCTTAATTTTGGCCCTCGTACCATGCCACAGTCATCCTCTGGTTGTGAGGGGGATTTTCATCTCTTTCTGCCTTCCTGACAAGTTTACACAAGTGTTGTGTTCTATTTGGGTTGTGTTCTCTTCAGAGGCTGAGGAGCAATCAGCTGCAGAAAAAGTGGAGATTTCAAAACCCGTCATCCAAATGGCTTTGTGCGGCCCATTTACAGACATCAGTACTGACCACAAAATGTGAGTAAACAAAGTAAACCTTAGCTGGAGACGTCCTTGTCAKATAGAAATGTGTTAAATCCTTTCTCTCACTTAGTTGTGTTTCAGCTAGAAAAAAAAACTTTTCTGACTGTGACGCAAGAAAGAACTGATGGTTCTTATTTGTGACAGTGATTCATACCTTTTAAAGCAAAATACAATAACACTGTAAAAATTTCTAAAGGGCTCGTTTTTCCTACAACTTGTATTTGATCCAGGAAAATATTACAACAGCGTTTCTACCCGTACTGTTACAACAAAACAAAGTAAGAAATAATTGTTTATTTCCATCTTTAATATTTGGACATTATTGTTACAAAGGTAGAAAAAAAAAAGCAAAAATAAATGTCAAATCATCTGGGGTTCATAACAACTTGTTTACCCAGAAAACATCACAGGAAACCAAAGTCCTATAAACTTTTGTAACTGCTAGGAAGCACAGTCTGAACTTTCTTTGAATTTTGTTGATGATAAAAAGGAAATGGGGATCAATTGGTTGAATTTCTAGATCCTACAGTAATACTTTCATTATGTTTTGTTTCAATGGAAACTGAAACTTTTGATTTAAGGCCAGTTTATCTGCAACATAATAACTGCTCTGTTACCAGCTTTTCCTGTAATAGCCTTAAATCTCAGTTCCTATTCAGGTGTGAGTTTGTTTTAAAGTTCAAACTTCACAAACGTGCTCATTTTAACTGCATCCTTTGGATCTGGCTAAAAATTAAAACGTTATATTTGTTAAAGTTGACATCAGCATCAAATAAGTTGACCCTTTTTTTTCCTGAACCTTCTGTCTTTTTATGGCCCAGCAGGGTTGAATTTAATTTAGTTTTTCCACAAATAAAATCTTTCACCTTTGGAACAATTTGAGTGGCGCAATTATCACATTAAAATGGTAACAAAAAAATTGAGACAAAATGGCTTTAATTGTGCCATTCTGTACAGAAACTGACAGTCAGCATGAAAGTAATGAGGCACTAAAATGTAATTGTCCACATTATATTCTCAGCATGTAGCCTAAAACCCTAGTTGTATAGAAACACAAAGATCTTCTCTGCTCTCGATGGCACTACTAAAAAATAAAGTTTTGTTTGTACAGAGTGGATGAAGTTGAGGGAAACTTTAAAAAAAAAACGTCCATAGTCTGGTGTGTATCCCCTTTGGTCACTTCAGTATGTTTTTCTTTGGTTTGTGGTTTCATTGTCTTTTCCCAAATGGTATGGAAAAAATGCTTTTAAGGGAAATCCTATGACATTGGTTTTCCATGTGTCTGTGTGGGCCCCTGCAGAGACAGCAGCTGGTTTTGTATAGGAAGCACTGATGGCCTATATGTGGTGGATCTGGCTGCATCAGAACTCCAAACAGTGCTGTATTTCAAAGGTAGGCTGCTGGTGGTATGGTTTCTCCAGCTGTTCCTTTTTTCTCTCTCTCTCTCTTTGAAACGTGGCGATTTATATAAAACTTTATGAAAAAGGAGCAACTTTTTGGAACAACGCAGTGCCAAAATTGTCAGGTAAAACCTTGTTATGTTATTGAGTAGATCACGTTACATAAATGCCTAATTTTTCCTTTCTGACCAATGCTTTAATTTCATTAAAGTTTTTTTTTTTCATCATGTATATAAATGGTGCGAGC